CGGCGATGGCTGACAGCCCCAAATGGGTTCACACTAAGAAAATTCTTTCCCACCATTAAATCGCGCTCAGAAAAGAAATGGGTCCTCCCGGACTACTGGGTCTCACAGATCCTGACGGGGCATGGGGGTTTCAGAGCGAAACTTTTTAAACACGGTAAAAATATCGATCCCTTATGCTCTACTTGAGGAATAACTGAAACCGCTGAGCACATCCTTGTAGCCTGCACCAGCTATGAGGCATTGAGGGCCAAATTAATGAGGGATACAGGGCTTTTCGTTCTAACAGAAAGACAATTACCCCAACTAATGTCTCAACAAAACTACCCGCACTTTAAAAGTTTTGTATGCGGCTGGAAAAAAACTGTGGGCCCAACCCACTTCTCCCTGGGAAGGCGTGAAGAAGCAGTACCTGGAAGGCCGCTGATTAGGACAGGAGAAGAAGATGGAGGACGATAAACTAAGTGACAATATTATCAAGCAGGCTGTGTGCACAGCATTTTAAAAATGTAAAAAGATAAACTTGCAACAGTGAATTGTTATACAATGTGTATCAAGTCACTGCTGCAAACTCCCGTATCGTCTTAAAGGCAGGGTAGGGAGATAAATAAAATAGACCTTCGGAACCATTTTTCTTGGAAGTATGTTTCATCATGTCTTCACGCTGGAGGAGGTCCAGAGGTACCCCAGGGCCAATGAATAATAAATCCATAGCCAGGCAATTCTCTTGGGTTTGAGGCTCTCGAGAGGAATGGCAGGGGGGAGGGAAAGTCTCTCCAACCCACACCAAATTGTCCAGTAGCCAATTTTTCCATTTTCAAATAATCCGAAATATAAAAATGATTAAAGAGAAATAAATATCTAATCTTAAGCCGGCTGGCTGTAATCAAATTGACTTGTCAAGTGCTCCTTTTCCCTTTCTCTAATACTGAACCCCTTCCCCATTACACAAGCTTCTCTCAATATACAAAAAAAAAAAAAAAAAAAAAAAAAAAAATACTTGTCATTCATTCAAATACAAAATCATGGACATTACGAACGCAGCCAAAGCTGCGACCGCTTTCGTCGCTACCGAGACCATGACGGGAGCTCAGCCAGGGTGAACACTCTTCGCCGGCGAACTTTCCTAACTTCAGTTGAGCAAAACCCGTCCCCGTGACGACTTGGAGGACTGCAATTGTCTTTTTAGAAAGAATATTAAGTATTAAATAAATAATAAATAACAAAGCGTAAATAAAAATTTGTTTTGAACAAAACTCCTTTATCTAGAATTATGTCCATTTGGATTAACCAGTATGCTTTGTATAAAAAAAAATAAAAAAAACCCTATGCAGTAAAGGGCAGCATTAGTTTTCCTAAATACTGAGTGGGGTAGCTCAGTGGTAGGGTCCTGAGCTTCCAATGCTAAAGGTCTCAGGTTCGAACCCCGGATCATGGCAGACAATTTATTTATCTGTTTCATAAGCCGTGGGGCGACCCTGGGTCAGGAGACCCTTCTGGGGCACACCCAGCCTCTATAAAGTGGGTACCCTTAATTAAATAATTAATTAAGGGGGAAAACCTGGCGGTTGAGCGTGATCTCGGTCAAATCACCTCCTTCCACAACCGTTGACCTAGAAACAGTGCTTTCCCTATTTACTACTGAACCCAAGACCCTTCATGGGTTGTAGTGGTACAGTTTTTTTTTTTTCCTATATACATACTTTTTTTTAAAGTAAGAATCGGTAATAATTTATCAAAAAACTTTGAGGTTCGTTCGGGTTTAAAACTAGACGATTCCCTTTCGCCCTTGGAACAAGCCATTCATTCCACACTTTTTGTCTAATATATATATTTTTTTGTTAAACAAGTATATAATAATAATTTATTTATTTTTAACAACGTCATAACCGAATCGTGACGTGACGGTTATTGGACGGATCCCATTCAAGGTTTCCATTGATAACAGCCCAGTGATTGTTTCTGTTCTTCGCTTCAACGACCCATCATTGTTCGAAAGGACAATTAGTTTATTGTCTAGCAATAAAATTATTGACAAGTCACAATTGAGCTACAACTATTCACAGAAACTAACGTCAATAATTTTAAAAGGGACGACAATAGCTCAGATTTTCTTGAAAATCATTATTGAAAAACAATGACAATTAATTATTTTTTCTTTAAAATTTGTATGTAAAGGCATAAAACGGCCATTCAAGTTTCTCGACCAGATATTGTAGTAAAATACTTTCCTTTTTAACCACCACGCGATTGAACATGTAAAGAATATGTTAAAAGATTAATTGTTAATGTCCTTTTTTGGCGGAGAATTGCGAATAATCTTCCGTTTATGGGGGGACTAGGTTATTTACATTCATGAATATTAAAACAAAACCCCGGCACTGGATATAGACTTTTGAGGGTGTTTAACTGTTGTTGGGAATTCGGGGATCTAATACTTTTGTGGCACTGAGCGAGAAGAAACAATATATGTATATTGTTGAAATGAGGGACTTAGTAAACACACTTTGAATGAATTGACTCACCTGGTCTGTTATTCTTCAATCGTGAGGCATATAGGACAACTAAATAAATAAATAAAACAATTTATTTCTACAATGTAATAAGTCAATATATTAAAGTCTTATAACTTTAGGCTTGATCTTGTTAATCTTCAGTGCGGTTCCTCTCTCTTCTGACAACCTCCTTTCTTCCTGCCCAGGCCTAGAGTGCCTTCTCTTCTCTCCAGCGTCCTTCTCCAGCTGTTGCTACCTGCTCGGCCCTTTTCCTTCTTCCTTCTTCATCGATTGTTTATCGATATGAGACTTTTCAATGAATAATTTGTCCACTGCATAATTGAGTACAATTCATCGTGCAACCTCACATTCCTATATATTCCTTCTTATTACCTCACACAATGCCCCATATGGGAATAAATAAAGGTTCTGTATTTACAACAAAAAAGTTTTGCGTTAATATCGCATTCTTTCATCGACGACAATTAAGTGGTTCCCATGTTCTTTCTTACACATGCATATAACTTTACTAATATGGACGCTTACTAGCAAGTTAAGTACGACTAATAAATACAAAAAAATATTGTATAGAAAATATTCAAATCACTGTCTTCCAATTCTTCAAACATTCCATTCCCTAACCAAACTCTACAGTATGTTCTTTTGAAGAAAAGAATAACGGGACCTTACGAGTTTTTTTAAGGACAGTTATGGATTTTGATCTGATCTGGGAAATATGATTATTCTATGATAGAAATGCTAATCAAAGATAACTCAAAGCTTTCATACAGTAAAGTAAGGTATCGTAAGGTAGGTATTGAAGGAGAAGCTTGATACCGATGATAAAGACATTGATTTCCTATTCTATATTTGATCAAACTGTTTGTTGGAAAGACCATGTTTTTTTGGGTCTTCCCCTTCCTCGCCGTTAAGGCTATACGGGGTTTTCCCGGGCCAGAGGGTGTCGGCGGGGATTTAAAAGACGACTTGGCACCGGGACGCGAACTCATGACTATTTTTTGTATCATTTATCATATATCTGGTTGCCGGGCAACGGCGGTGCTGCGGACAACGGGTTAGCCCATTCGGCCACCCTCGCCCACTGAAAGACCATGCATCCAATATCTCCCGCCGTGTCTTTTCCATTTTAAAATGTCTAAATTACCTCCGCCACCTATTTCCATTTCAAACTCATAGACTTCAGTTCACTTCCTTAATATTTCCCCACTTTGACTATTGCTGCACGGTATAGAGGGGCGTCCTCGGAGATCCCGAAGAAAAACTAAAACCTTTGATAAATTGCTTTGTGCGATTTATCTTCGGGATCCCGAGGGAAGTCTCTGTCTCCCGTTTTTATAAAGAGCTGAAGTGGCTTTATCCTTCGTACCGTCGTAAGTACTTCCTAGCTTCCTTCCTCTTCCAAGTCATCCAATACTATCGTCTTTTATACATCTCCGAACTACTTCAATTCAAATCCTCTGTTCACACCCGTAAAACCCGTTCCCGGTCTTTGGATTTGTATATGAGAGCCCACCGAATTCATTGTCCAATCCTCAGGATCGTCTACCTCGGCGTCACGCTAGATTGGAACCTGTCCTTTTCTAGCCACGTCACTGACATTACAACGATTGTAGAGCTACGAGAACTCCGTCCTTCTGCGAGTAGCAAGAGGAACCAGTCTCCAAAAGGCAAAGAATTCGATCAGCCACGAAGAGCTTCGGCTCCCGTCAGTGCTCGAGTTCATAGGCCGGAGGCACATCAAATTCTTTGGCCTGTGCCAACCCGCTGTTCAAAGGTATCCCACCACTCAGGCCCGGGAGGTGGCAAGACAAGGTCCCCTTGGTGGATGCACTCGCCGAGTGAAGGGATCTGGACTCTGTAGTCCATATCCATCCATTTCTGTAAATATTGTTAATATAAATATAAATTGCTACCCATTAGAGCGGTCCCTCCCCGCTCGGCGGAAAATAAAAGGCTTCGTGCCACAGGTGCCAAAAATGCATACAGCAAACATATTCCTTATCCCTCCTTAGAATACCCTTGGGTAATAAAAGGTGAATGTAACCTGTATATACTCATACTTATATCAGTTTGTATTTGTTTATAAACAAAGTCTACTGGGGAGGGAGGTAAGAAAAAAAAATATCCGATCTTCGTCCCTATGGAATTCTATCTCGTCCTGCATCCCTCTTTCAAATACCCTTCCCACCTTTAAATCTCGCCTATTCAATCACCTCCTATCCGTCTAGTCTCCATAAAATTGTAAATAGATGTAATATGTATATAAATTCTAAAGTCGTTGTAAATATTTTTATATTATATTTTTTTTTATTGAGAAGTTAGAAGACAACATGTACTTTTTTATTTATTATGTCTATTCGTTTTAATTTTTTTGTGATGATTCTCTGAGACTCCGAAGCCCACATTTGTGTCTTTGTATATTATTCTAAAGAGACTTGTCCCAGAATAAATAAGGTATTATTATTATATTATAGTAGTATTACTCACATGGTCCCCTTGGCGACGGTCATGTTGAGGTTGGAGAGGACGTGGTTGGGGTTCTGGGAGGAGCCGTAGTGCTTGAAGGCCCGCCGCACGGACACGGCCTGCTGCCTCCTCGTCCAGGCCGAGTTCGCCCTCTCCAGAGGAGCGGGCTTTTCCACCGTCACCAGGTCCGGGCCCTCGTCCATCACCAGCCCGGGGTTCACCACCCCTCCCTCCCTGCAACAATAACAACAACAATATAATATATATAATAAACAACAACAATGTAAGCATATATATAATATATAATGAGGTACTTAAATACACAAAACATTATTTAAAAAACTAAGATGTGTGCTTTACACCACACGATAGAAGTGAAAATATCTACAAGGCGACAATAATAATATGAAATATAAATTATAAATAATAGCTCATTATAAAGATATACTAACTCAGGAAATTGATCCCTCCGTTAGTATTTCATCCTTCCAAGTGTACTCTACAAAGTGTAGAGATTTGATCCCTCCGTTTATGATCACTGTCCCTGAGGAATGTAAGGTTGATCCCTTACACCGCAGACCAAGAGTAATTGAACGCTGATCCGCCTGACACTTGAGGTCATCCTTCTACTCATCTTCCTTCATCACTAGTGAACACGCTATTTCGAGGCCTTCTGGTTACTGTATACTTAGCACAATACCTCGAAATATTCAATAAAACTCGTCATCATTTGTTTTTCGACACTATTTTTCCCTTTTCGCCTCAATAACACAGCTTCGACTTAAGATACAATTTTGAATAATAGCTCATTATAAAGAGGATGAAATCTTTAACATTTCCTTCGCTTCCAGTAGGTAGGTATTTTAGTTTCTGAGATATTGTAATCCATATATTTGAGGCGGTTTCCGCCATTGGCTACAAGCGACAACTAGTTCACCTGCCCGCAACCTGGCAGTGCTACACAAGTTCGCTCGGCAATGTACCAAAAAATGGTATTTTTATTTCTTATTATTGAATGATAAAATACTCAAATTGTAAATTGAGATATGTATATACATTGTAAATATTTTTTATTATTAAAGTTTAACGAAGATAACATATACTGATCAAAGCTTAAAAATGACTGTTATTGTAACGGCTCTTCATAGCCGAATTTGTCATGGTGGAATGATTACCGCAGTCCTGTCACATAATTGTTTCATTATGTCCAAAAACCTCTTATCATCTTCTCTCTCTCCATACAAGTCTGGGTGCTGATCCGTCCACTTGTATTCCTACATACTATGTCAGGAGATTGATCTCTTCGTTAGTATATCATCTTCCCATAAATTCTAGAGATTTGATCCCTCCGTTTGTGATTACCATCCCTGCAGAACGAAAGGTTGATCCCTTACACCGCAGACAAAGAATGATTCGAGTACTGATCCGCCTGACACTTAAGGTCATCCTTCTACTCATCTTCCTTCATCCACTTAGTCATCTTGCCCGACTATTAAACACGCTATGTCGATGTCTTCTGGTCACTGTATACTCAGCAATAATACCTCAACATATTCAATAAAACTCGTTATCATTTGGTTTTCGACATTATTTTTCCCTTTTCGCCTCTCTAACACGGCGTCGCGTTAAGATACAATTTTGAATAATAGCTCATTACAAAGAGGATGAAATGATGAACATTTCCTTCCTAACAATATGCAGGTCCGATTTTTAGTTTTGAGATATTTTAATCCATATCTTTAATTAGTCCTTCCCAGCCGACTTTACCTGAACGTTACACATCGGAGATCTGACGGCACAATCTAAATTCACTCTCCACAAAAAAAAGTGCAAAGCGTGACTAAAGAAGTTTTCACTTCAAAAATCATAATCTAGTTACTAGATGAATATTATTAACAAATTGTTTAACTTTTGACAAACCATCAAGCTAGCAGAAGAAGCGGTTTTTTTTTTGGTTTTTTTGTGGTCAGTTGTTAAATTATAATCTTTCTCAGCTGTTTTGTATCATCTACCTTCAAGTATGCGAATCGATGCTTTGGAATGATGTGATCTTGGATATGAACTGACAATACCTTAATTGGTCAATCCTTGTCAAGTTATTTTATTCTTTATCTACATTTTAAAGACACGGAGATGTGTAGTTGGAATTTTCCAGGAACAACCTAACATCTATTTTCTGTCTATTGATTTTGAAAAAAAAAATCTGACGATTTTATGAACAAACGTCTCGTCCAATTTTTAATTTAGATGGTTCAAATTACTCGTGTGATCTTGTGAATGTATTAAAACAAAGTTAAACTTAAAAAAATGGAAACAATATTTTATCTCATAATAAATATTTTCAATTTTTTTATTGGTTTCCTTTAATTGAATCAGATGTTTATCCTAGCGTGTGTAACAGTAGTAGATACAAATTCATAATATTGATATAGGACGCCCTTGGTCACAATCCGCATAATTCTTCTCAAATTTCGAGAAAATAGATTGAACGGTAGATTTTGTATTCATCAGATCGATTTGTGGACTATATATATATATATATATGAAAACTTTTTTTTTCGATATTTAAAACGTCAAACGCGAAGGAAATCTTTTGATTCTGAGAATGAAAAACCTGACCAAATATTTCATACTAGAATAGACAGAAACCATTGTCCTAACAAAGACCCACATGCTTGGGCAGAAGTGTCGACAAGCTCAATAACATAAATCTCAAAGTTATTGTATAAATAATATTATACGATATGTTGAATTATCATTCAAGCTAACCTATAATGGTTTCCTTTGGACCCGATAATCGATATTTTATCGATATAATAAATAATTTTTCAATATGAATATAAATATAAATATAAATATTGCTTCTATAGCTCATAGACGCATCAAAAATGATTTATTTTCCTCTTTAAATTAATTAATGTAAATATCAACCTTCTACCTCCCTTGTGAAATAAATTTTCTAGTTCCTGGCCTTCTGTGTCATTCTCAGTTTTTTTCCAGAAATATCTATTCAACCAATTTTGGCTTGCATTCATCCTACAGATCGGATTCAGCGAAATTCTAATTTATCCTGATCTTGCATAGATTTGTTTGACAATTCCTAGCCTTGGTTTGAGAAGGTTCTAACAAATTTGGGCAAATTGAGTATACTGAGTGAGAAAGGTTCCACGAGCGCTATTCAACTCTACTTAGGGATGGACATCTATAGTCGATATAATCGAAATATCGATATGGTCCTCTACTACGCACTACATTCTATATGAAATAGTCAAGATGAATGTATTTATTTTTCTAACGATCAGATTCATATATCAACCAAGAGCTTCATAGAGTCAACCTAGAGCTTCCCGAAAACGATAATTTCAATTTTAATTTTTAGATTAAAATATTAAAATATCGAAGGGACGATATCGATAGTCAATAATATCGACTAGCGATGATAAAATATCAAATATCGGAAAGAAAAGATCGATAATATCGACTATCGATGGTGATCCATAGTTTGTCAAGATAGATAATAAAGCCCATTTCTTCCATTTATATTTGCTAAAAAGATCAATGCTTTATATTTAAAAAATAAATGGAGATAATAATTGTGGTAATGTGTGCCCAACTAAACTATTTTTTTATATTTATAAATTCGTTTGCATCTATTAATACAATTTCATTCAAATTTTGCCGTTTCTCAAAAATTGGCACCGCATGTTCTTGGTATGTAAATCCTTCAATAAATCTACAGAAACTATTTTTTTTTTTTCAAAACGTTTCGTGTTTGTGCTTAATGGAATAGACCTTGCGTGACGGAAGGTTGTGTGAAAATGGGAACGAGAAAATTATTTATTTCTTATTATACTTCTGTGTATGTTTTCCTCCTTCCGTTTCTGCATTCACACCTTCATATATATGATTATATATATATATATTTATATATATATATATATATATATATATATATATATATATATATATATATATATATATATATATATATATATATTTGTTTATATAGAAGTAACATTACAAAATTTCCCCAATTGATTTTTGAATATTATATTTTAACATAAGTATTTAAATTTTGTGACCTAAATTCCAATTTAAATAATTATGTTAAAATATATATATAGATATTTATAAATGGTATAGACTATTATAGAAAACTAGGTATAGACCATTATATCTGTCCTCCGGGAGTAAAGGACATGTCCAATTTCATGTCATGAATAGGCGGGAGGGAGGGGAGAGCCAAGCGGCGTTTTTCCTATCTTGATTTTAATATTTATAGTTAATGTCAGTCCAAGATATTGAACTTTCTCTTTCTCAGGAATATGGACATTGCCAAAGTAAATAGAAAAGTAATATGTTGTGATTTTAGACTCACCAAGGATTGTAATTGTCCAGGGTTTTCACTGGAATGGACTCTGTTTAGATGAGACTGTATTGTAGTGTATGTGAGGCGTGCATTGGATTTTGAAGTCTTGTCAAAATTGTTGTATCGCCTGCATAATATATTACAATTTTTTTTTTTTTTTTTATTGAATAATAATACAATCAGCCACTGCTGGAGGCCTATAAGTATTAGGGCTAAGAGTTCTCATTCATACAATATATACACTTAATAGAAAAATAAATATAAATATAAAAAGTAAATAAATAATACTGATGAATAAAGTAAATAAAAGAAAAAAAAGTAAACAAATAACATAAAATAGAAACTTCTAAACATAATCATACCTATATGCAATATATACATTCGCCCAGGAATCTCCGAGCCAGGCTTTTTCCCCCACATGTGGAAGGCAAAGCAAGACTCCAGGAGATCCCTGTGCCTATATTACAATTTAAATTCCTTAAGTTTTCGTCAGCCCCATTTTACCCTCCATGACCAACTTATACATTAAATAATAATTTTTGAAAAATATCAACCAACAAATTAGCACAACGCAGAATTTAAGTTACTACGTCATACCAGACTGAAACGACCAGAAACCGCTCAACATTTCTGATTACTTCAGCATTTACAAGGAACTTCCAATTAATTACAAAAGACACATATACAAGACTACAATAAGACCTATTTGGACGGAGTTGAGCTATGGGGCTCCACTAAACCATCGGATTCCTCTCGTATTCAATCCTTGCAATCCAAAATCCTCAATGCTCCCTACTTTGATACAAATATATCATCCATAACGACTTTAATCTTTCGTATCTTTCAGATCTGGCCCAATCCAGATACC